TCCCCCTGGCAACCGAGAGGCTCTGCCCCCCTGGCAACCAAGAGGCCCTGCCCCGGGGCTGCCCCCCCTGGCAACCAGGTGGCCCTGCCCCGGGGCTGCTCCCCCTGGCAACCAAGAGGCCCTGCCCCGGGGCTGCCCTCCTGGCAACCAAGAGGCCCCGAACCGGGGCTGCCCCCCCCCCTTGGCAACCAAGAGGCCCTGCCCCGGGGCTGCCCCCCTGGCAACCAAGAGGCCCTGCCCCCCCTGGCAACCGAGAGGCCCTGCCCCGGGGCTGCTCCCCCTGGCAACGAAGAGGCCCTGCAACGGGGCTGCCCCCCCTGGCAACCAAGAGGCCCCTAACCGAGGCTGCCCTCCCTGGCAACCGAGAGGCCCTGCCCCGGGGCTGCCCCCCTGGCAACCAAGAGGCCCTGCCCCGGGGCTGCCCCCCCTGGCAACCAAGAGGCCCCGAACCGGGGCTGCCCTCCCTGGCAACTAAGAGGCCCTGCCCCGGAGCTGCCCCCCCTGGCAACCAAGAGGCCCTGCCTCCCCTGGCAACCGAGAGGCCCTGCCCCGGGGCTGCTCCCCCTGGCAACGAAGAGGCCCCGAACCGAGGCTGCCCTCCCTGGCAACCGAGAGGCCCTGCCCCGGGGCTGCCCCCCTGGCAACCGAGAGTCCCTGCCCCGTGGCTGCTCCCCCTGGCAACCAAGAGGCCCCGAACCGGGGCTGCCCTCCCTGGCAACCGAGAGGCCCTGCCCCGGGGCTGCCCCCCCTGGCAACCAAGAGGCTCTGCCCTGGGGCTGCCCCCCTGGCAACCAAGAGGCCCTGCCCCGGGGCTGCCTTCCCTGGCAACCAAGAGGCCCTGCCCCGGGGCTGTCCCCCTGGCAACCAAGAGGCCCCGAACCGGGGCTGCCCCCCTGGCAACCAAGAGGCCCCGAACCGGGGCTTCCCCCCCTGGCAACCAAGAGGCCCCGAACCAGGGCGGCCCCCCGGGGGCCGCCCTGGTTCGGGGCCTCTTGGTTGCCAGGGGGGGAAGCCCCGGTTCGGGGCCTCTTGGTTGCCAGGGGGGGACAGCCCACGCTCAGGGGCCTCTTGGTTGCCAG